GGGGCTCCCCCACCCCAGTTCCAGTGCCACAGACTGTCGGGGCTGCCACCAGCTCCTGCCTCATTCTGCTGTTTTAACCCCCTGCCTCCTGGATTGCTCTCCTGCCACTAGGAGGGCTGCCCCAACCCAGTCCCAGTGCTGCAGACTGTTGGGGCTGCCACCTGCCCCTGCCTCATCCCACTGCCTTAACCTGACCCCTCCTGGATTGCCCTCCTGCCATTAAGCTACCAGGGTTCTCTGATCCAGGAACATCCGTGGTCAACCAGAACCACAGATATTCCCTGCCTCCTGGATTGCTCTCCTGCCACTAGGAGGGCTGCCCCAACCCAGTCCCAGTGCTGCAGACTGTTGGGGCTGCCACCTGCCCCTGCCTCATCCCACTGCCTTAACCTGACCCCTCCTGGATTGCCCTCCTGCCATTAAGCTACCAGGGTTCTCTGATCCAGGAACATCCGTGGTCAACCAGAACCACAGATATTGTTGGACAAGAGAGTTCTGGTTTTGGGAGGTGCAGCCTGTACATATTTATAAACTTTTGTCTAGTTCAACAGTGTGTTAGTATTTACTTTAGTTTCCATATTGAAATGCCATTCAAAGTAGTGACTATTTAGAATTAAAAGAGAGGCAGTTCATTATGGTGCACAGGGAAGAAGGGTGGAATTGAGAGATGATTAGGAGAGTATAGAAAGAGCTGAGAGAAACACCACACAGACTATATTCTGGGGCTTTGCATCAGGACTGAAGATAGTCGTACAGAAGCTCCTTCACTATTGAGTATTCCCCTTTAGTAACTCTGCAGAACTTCAGATTCTTACTTAGTTCACTTCCTTCTAGAATTGCCTCAGAGCATCCCTGAAGTTCTAATCTAGACTAACCCTTGGAGTCCTTGAAGACAGTCAACCTTTTCCCAGAGTCTCCTCCTGTATCTGTGAATTATTTCATTATGCTCCCTCTTCTTTCGGTTGGAACTGTCTCGCAAGCCCTTAGTATAAAGGCTGCTTTCCTGAGAGTTATGTGGGATTTCATTTTCTCTTCCATTAACACTGTATTTGTTCTGTCAGATCTTAGCAGTCAAGGTGTCCTCTGTTGCAGTTAATTTATATTTGTATCACAACATTCCACTTTAAATGAATGTTACAGATCTGAATTTTGTTTCTTTTGGGGATTTTAAGAGTAGATTTTGGGGATTTTGCTACTCCTTTGCCCAAAGTGCCTCACAACCATGAAATGCATTAGAGGCCATAGGAAAGAATGGCCTAATATAGAAAGATTCCTGTGTCAAAGTCAGACAGGACTCACAGATTTGTCAGTCCGCTCTGTTTATTAGCAAAGCCGCTCTGCTAATGCACCCAGAAAATGTGAGTACCATACAAGGTTCAAACTCCTTGATTTATACAGTCAAAAGAAAGCCAAGTTAACAAGATTAAAAGAGAGGCAAAACTTCACATGATTAGTATGAGGCTAGTCAAGTATTTTCATTTCCACATCAAGCACACAGCAATCTCCTGTCCATATCTCCCTGGTTATCTCAATTGTTTTCTGCCTAAAACCTAATGTTCCCTTTCCTTTTATCCTAGGCCCACCTGGCTAGCACTCTGATCTGCATACCTACAAACAACATTAACATACTTTCCTCTTCAGAGACAAACAGTGTTCCTTCAACTTATTCAATTATTACAGTATAATTCATCTTTCTCTTACAATATAATTCTTTCTACTTTCACACCTGTAATATGCAGCTGGGAAGAGCAAAGTAAGCAGTGCCTTAAATCTTGGCTTTCCTTGTATTCCTAGATTTAGTGTGATTTATTTTCATGTAAAGAGTGTTGGAATATCATATTCCAATCTATAAATTCATAATAACCTGTCTCAGTCCTAATGACTCAGTGTTTCTGGCACCATTTCTCTTACAACAGGTGGAAAAGGCATGGGAGGCTGGGAAGGAGGGATCCGTGTGCCAGGGATCATTAGATGGCCTGGAGTATTGACTGCAGATACAGTTATTGATGAACCTACAAGTCTCATGGATATTTACCCCACAGTGGCTCACCTGGCTGGAGGAATAATGCCTCAGGACAGGTATAGAGGCTGCTTCATTAACCATATTTGTTCCATTTCCACTGTAGTCAAAAGCTTGGTATGTTGCTCATCCTGATATATGCAAGTTTTGTTTTAGTTGTGTGTTTTTAAAGGGACATTGTCATACTGTTTTAAAAAACAAGTGTCTTTATCTTTCTTTTTGCTTAGCTCTACCTATTCTGTATGGGTATGTCTACACTACCCCCCTAGTTCGAACTAGGGTGGGTAATGTAGTCATACGGAGTTGCAAATGAAGCCCGGGATTTGAATTTCCTGGGCTTCATTTGCATAAAGCCAGCTGGCGCCATTTTTAAATTCCGGCTAGTTCAGACTTCATTTGTAACTCCGTATGACTACATTACCCCCCCTAGTTCGAACTGGGGGGTAGTGTAGACATACCCTATGATTTTAAAGAAAACACAAAGGAGACAAGTTTACTTGTACAGAAAGAAATAGAATTAATCACAGTATATTTAAATTCAGTTTTCTTTCATAAACAAACAGTAGAAACCAATGTATATGTGCAATTTCTGGGATGAGTCTAATTTTCTTAAGAAGACCCTCCTGTATTAGAAGGAAATGGGAGGCAGTAATGTTTTGTTAGAACATGAAGGAAAGGACTGGGAGCCTAGGCACCTTTGAGTCCTATTTCTGGCTTTACCATTAGATAAGTACAGGCCAGACATGTAGACCAACTTATAAAACTTTGGTACTTACGGTGAGGCTCCAAAATCCATCTTTAATCATCTATATGCCACTTGATTCTTCAGAAGTTCTGAGCGCCTCCCATTGACTTCAGCTTTAATCACCCAAGTTTGAAAGAATGAATTTCTCTTTGATTACACTTTACTCCTTTGTTAAAATGATCATGTTAATTACATCACCATGGTGATGTTTTTGTAATGTACTTGTGTTCTGAGACCCTAGGACCAAAGGCACCGTGCAGGTGGGAACTATTAAGCATTAGTTCCACTGACTCAGAGTTGGCTGAAATTTTTCATCAAATTTTATAAATTAAAATGTCAATGTTTCCTGAGTCTAATGGTGGCTTGTTTAAGAATTGCTATTTGCAGTAATACTGAGTACAGAATGTACTCCACCCAGTATGATGACTTCCATTCTCTCCATCACATTAGGGTGGTCGACGGCCGAAACTTGATGCCCTTGCTGCAGGGAACAGTTCAGCACTCGGAGCATGAATTCATGTTTCACTACTGTGGGGTATATTTACATGCGGTACGGTGGCACCAAAAGGACAGTGAGTATAAACAGTCTCCCCACAACAAGTAAATTGGGTGATTTAATAGTTCCTTTTGGCTTTCAGATCTATGAAACTGAAACAATAGGGAAGTAAATATAGAGCAGTTTGTTATGTCCTAAAAGAAAAGTCCAAACAAAATACCATACTGTACATGCTTGGGTTCCTAGGGAGAGGGCAAGAGGACAAACACTTGACATGTTCATCATGTTGCTTACTACAGAACTAGAAGGAGCTCAGATAGCACAGTGGTGAACACAGTATAAAAACCTAAATAGAATAGAACAGGAAAAATATCCGGCATTACCTGTTATCTTGACACTGCACTTCTGAAGAGTCCTGGATAGCTGAGTTGGTAGTTCTCACACTTTCTTCTGATATAAAAGAATATGATTCATGGCTATACTAAAGGTTGGATTTTTAAAGGAACATTTAAGAACATAAAGACTCAGCTAGGACGTCATGTAAGTCTTGAAATCCCACAAGATGTCCATCTGTATCTTTAGATGCCTAAATACCTTTACAAATCTGGCCCTGAGCCCACAGGAATAGTGGTGCTACCTCATTACACCCAGTGCTTTCTTTGCTGCATAAGCATCAGGAAAGTTATCAACAGAGTGATCATGGACACAGCCTGGGATTTTTAAGATTAAGGTGTTTGACTATTTTCAAAAGTTCCATGTTCTCTGTTTATTTGCATGTTCTCCTTTATAAGGCTCAGTTATGAAACATCTTTCTTTAATTATGCTAATTGACAGCAGCAGCAGTGCATTTCTTACATATGACCACAGCCCTGACACAAACAAACTTCCCTAAGAAAAGAACTCTGAATTAGAGATTGATCAATAGCTTGCTCCCCAAATAGAAGACAATCTGGACCCATTGAGGCTATTTTTTGTTTGTTTTTTGTTTGTTTGTTTGTTATTTTTTGCCTGAGAATAGCCCTTATCCAAAAACTTCAAAAACAGACTGCAATGAGAAACTACTGAGCTGGAATTCAATTTGGCACCCTGATAAAAGGTTTAAATAGACACATGGAGTGGTTTTCACATTACAACAGGTGATTTCTCCCTCAGGTACTCTCACTTTCTCATCACTATTGGGGTATGTCTACACTACCTCGCTAGTTCGAACTAGGAGGGTAATGTAGGCATACCGCACTTGCAAATGAAGCCCGGGATTTGAATTTCCCGGGCTTCATTTGCATAAGCGGGGCGCCGCCATTTTTAAAACCCCGCTGGTTCGAACCCCGTGCAGCGCGGCTACACGGGGCACGAACTAGGTAGTTCGAACTAGGCTTCCTAGTTCGAACTACCGTTACTCCTCATTCCACAAGGAGTAACGGTAGTTCGAACTAGGAAGCCTAGTTTGAACTACCTAGTTCGTGCCCCGTGTAGCCGCGCTACACGGGGTTCGAACCAGCGGGGTTTTAAAAATGGCGGCGCCCCGCTTATGCAAATGAAGCCCGGGAAATTCAAATCCCGGGCTTCATTTGCAAGTGCGGTATTCCTACATTACCCCACTAGTTCGAACTAGCAGGGTAGTGTAGACATACCCTTGGAGATTAGTCACATCCACTCTGACTTAATTAGCGCTGATGTCACACTCCCATTTCTAGCCACGTCTATACTTATGCGCCGGAGAGCAATCTTCTGGCTTTTGACATCTTTACCAGACCTGCTAACTTGAAGGCTGAGTGTGGCTCCAATCGGTGCTGGCACTCCTCGCAGTGCACAAAGAAGTAAGGGAGGCCAATCAGAGCATTTGTTCTCATCGACCTCCCACTGTGAAGATGTGAAGATGACACCAAGCCCATCTTAAGGTATTTCAACTCCAGCTATGTTATTTATGTAACTGGAGTTGAATATCTTAAGCCAGCCTTCCCAGTCTAGTATGGACCTGGCCTCTGTATCTCTACCTTTTTTCTTTTCTTTTCAGCATCTAAGCAAGTGAGTTGTATCTGATGAAAACTTATGCCCTAATACCTAATACATTTGTTAGTCTTTAAAGTGCCATCTGACGCCTTGCTGGTTTAGCTGAAACAGACTAACACATGTCATTTTAAAGAAGTAGTTCCATCCACACAAGTCTGACAATGACCCTCATGGGCTCCCAATGCCCTTGTGACTACATTGTGAATAACATTTTCCCTCTGGCTATCTGGGCTCACCGGGCAATTTTAAGGGGCAGGATTTTGAGCTGATTAAACATCTGTGAAGCAGAGAGGGGGAATGTAATCCAGAACAAAAAGGAGCACTGGTTTTTCATCTAACAATTTATAGAGCAGTAGTTGCCACATTGCATAACTTGTCACACAAGACCAGTGCTCCTCTATGGCTTTGGGAGTCAGTGAGGGACTTGCGTAGATGGAACCACTTATTCAACATAGCTATTTGAGTACAACTTCCAAACAATATGCAGTCCACACAAAGGAAGATCTGGTCCCTCCCCCATAGAGCTAAGATAATCATCTCCAGCAGGGGTAAATGAGGGTACCAGTTGCTGTGAAAAGAAATGGTTTTAAGTATGATCCTACAGATCACTGCCTTAAAATAACCATAGAGATGTAGCTGTGTTAGTCTAGTCTAGCTGAAACAAAAAACAGGACTATGTAGCACTTTAAAGACTAACAAGATGGTTTAGTAGGTGATGAGCTTTCGTGGGCCAGACCCACTTCCTCAGATCAAATTGTGGAAGAAAATAGGCATGACCATATATACCAAAGGGATACAATAAAAAAAAAAGTGAACACATATAAAAAGGACAAATCAAATTTCAGAACAGAGGGGGGATGAGGAGGGGGAAGGTAAATGTCTGTGAGCTAATGATATTAGAGGTGATAATTGGGGAAGCTGTCTTTGTAATGGGTAAGATAATTAGTGTCTTTGTTAAGACCCCGGCGTAAAGTGTCAAATTTAAGCATGAATGACAGTTCAGAGGTTTCTCTTTCAAGTTTGGTGTTAAAATGTCTTTGAAGCAGTATGCAGGTAATCAAGTCATTGAGACAATGCCCCTTCTGTTTGAAATGGCAAGAAACTGTTTTTTCTTTGTGATACTGTCTGATATCCATTTTGTGTGCATTGATTCTTTGGCGAAGTGTCTGAGACGTTTGTCCAATGTACATAGCAGATGGACACTGTTGGCACATGATGACATAACAAACAATGCCCAGAAAGGGCATTGTCTCAACAACTTGATTACCTGCATACTGCTTCAAAGACATTTTAACACCAAACTTGAAAGAGAAACCTCTGAACTGTCATTCATGCTTAAATTTGACACTTTACGCCGGGGTCTTAACAAAGACACTAATTATCTTACCCATTACAAAGACAGCTTCCCCAATTATCACCTCTAATATCATTAGCTCACAGACATTTACCTTCCCCCCCCCCCCACACATCTCCCCTCTGTTCTGAAATTTGATTAGTCCTTTTTATGTAAATGTTCACTTTTTTTTATTGTATCCTTTGGTATATATGGTCATGCCTATTTTCTTCCACAATTTGATCTGAGAAAGTGGGTCTGGCCCACGAAAGCTCATCACCTAATAAACCATCTTGTTAGTCTTTAAAGTGCTACATAGTCCCGTTTTTTTTAAATAACCAGTTTAGCTCCTTTTGGAAAGGGCTGTTCTGGAGTTTAGTTAGTTCCCAATAAATAGATAGTTGCATGGTCACCTTGGATTTTTTCCTTGAGGTGAGCAGAATAAAAGCTTTTGCAGCCTTTGTCACCCCTCCTGTTTACTAGACCAGTATGACATTATTCAAAGCCTTGTGACTTTTTATACAGCTTTGAGAGTCTAGACCTGAGGCTCCTTTGTGTGCTCTGCATTGTGTGTCAGTGTGTATATCTCAGACCAGACTCACTGAGACAAATCACCAGGAACAGGCTTTATTCTGTAAAGAACACAGAGCAGGATGACAGGTCAGCAGCCTCCTCTCTGCTTGCAGCCTATGTGCTCCCAGCTCAGTCAGTGCTGAGACCCTGCTGGGAGAGCAGAGCGTACATTGTACAGCACGACCCCCCCCTTACAAACATGTTCTAACTCCCACAGTAGCTAAGCTCCACAACAAATAAGTCCATATTCTTCCTTTGTGTCACTTAAACTCCTCTCATGGGGGCTCTGAAAGCCTTTTTTGGTCCTACCTGTAAAGAACAAAAACAGTATTACAGTTCAGCCACCCCTCCTCTCTGCCTGCAGCCACTGCTGAGACCCTGCTAGGGGGCACAGGGCACATGCCAACAGTTTGTAGTCCACAACTTGTAGTTCCCTGGGCTGTTCCTGAAGCACATTGGACATTGAGCTATACAAGGAAAATACTGTCCTTAGTAGAGTTCTGTCTAGTGTGTGTCCATCTTTGTTACTTGAACAAGATTCTCTCCTGGCAGGTGGGGCGCTGTGGAAGGCTCATTTTACAACTCCAATATTCCAGCCAGAAGGCGCTGGAGCCTGTTACAGAGGTGGAATGTGCCATTGCTTTGGGGAAGACGTAACCCATCATGACCCTCCTTTGCTCTTTGACCTCTCCAGAGACCCGTCTGAGTCTAAACCTCTGTCTCCCTCCACTGAGCCCCTGTTTGACACAGTAATAAGCAGAATTGAAAGAGCGGTGGAGGAGCATCGCCAGACCCTGACTCCCGTCCCACAGCAGCTCTCTGGGTACAACAACGTGTGGAAGCCCTGGCTGCAGCCGTGCTGTGGGACATTCCCATTTTGCTGGTGTGACAAGGAAGGTGACAGTGCACACCCTGCTCTGTAGCCATAGTCAGGGCAAAATTACACTGGACAACGTGAAACAGACATTCCTCTCCTTGTTTTCACCCTACACATGCCCACCCTGCCTTTTAGCTCTGATCAGTAGACCTGAACATTATCTCTGGGCCATATTCTGTCCCAGTTGTATCCGTGTAATTTGGCCTCAACAGTGAGCTCAGGCTTCGGCCCAGAGATATTGTTCTTACTGGCTTTAAATTCAAAGAAATCATTGATTACATAGAACTGAATCACCAAGATAGTTTCCATTCATGTTACTCAAAGTGTCTTAGAAATCAATAGGATTGTGTGGGAGGATAGAGCTCGTGATTTAACCCTTTGTTTATAGATACTAACCTGTATTTCAAAACAAACTGGTGATTCACTTTGGTACTGTGTCGAAATGTGTCCACCTCAGCAATTGTACATCTGCTAAATCACCTCAGTCCCTTGTCAGCAAATCTGGTTCTCTGCCTTGGCCATGATTCCACAGACCAGATGCACAGACCAGAGTGAAACAAACCAAATCACAGAGTCCTTAGTGGCCGGCTGGAATGTAGCCACTCTTAACTCTAGGACCATGATGCGTGGAAAATTTTACTGCTCACTCGGCATGATACAGGAAGTTTGACCAGCCTGCTAACACAGCCTGCCAAGCAGTCATTTTGGTCTCTGTGTTCATAACTCCAGAGTCACCAACATGGAAGCGTAGACTTTTAACTAAGCTATCTAGCTTGTACTTTCACTCCTGTGTCAGGAAACTGGCAGAACATTTGTAGGACATTGGTGGACATTTTGCTTGCTTTGTCTGTTCCACCAAAGGATCTTGATGGAGCTAGAGGAGGAGTAGCCTGGCATCTCACACTCCCACTGACATATTTCTCAGAATAACTGGCATAATTCTTGATGTCTCCTTCATAGGCCAATGCTTCTGATGCAGGCCCATCAGCAGAGACTGGTGGAAATGCAGTCTCTTGCAGACCTGAGATGACGTGCAGTGCATCCAGAACATCCACGGGAAGAAAGCAACACTTCTTGAGCATTGTGAACAGCTCACCCTTCCACTCCAGCTTAAAGAGACACAACAAATGTCATCCTTGTCAATCCAGAAGCAGGTCACAATAGCCATCTGATAGCTGGCAACTCCAGACTGCTACAAGTCCATTGTCAATCAGTTTGGGATTGGCAAGTCAACAGTTAGTAAAGTTGTGGTGGAGGAATCTGAGGCAGACGGGAATGTGCTTTTCCTCAAGGTAGCAGGCATTAAAGATATTCCAGCAGTAATTTCTGGTTTTGGGAGAATGGGGTTTTCCCTCCTCAAGTTGCTTATGAGGGCATAAAATGCAAAGAATACTACTCCAATGTTATACAAGCACCAGTGGACCACAGAAGTAAATTTCAGAATGTCAGTGTGGGCTGCCCAGGAAAAATTCACAATGGCAGCATTTTTTGTCAATTGGGAATATATAGTCATGGACAGTCTCAGACACAAGTTCCACCATACAGTATTGAAGTAAATGATGTTACCTTCCTCACTTTTTTCTAGGAGATCCAGTGTACCATCTTCACCTCCGCTTATCCAACGGTCTTGAATTCAGAGATCCTGATGCAAGACAGTTTAATTACATGCTCAGCAGGTGCAGAATGATGGTGAAATGTGTTTGAGGCAGATTGAAATCCTGTTGGAGATGTCTGCAGACACATTTGGATTTCATTGTCATTAATGCTGTGCACATTACTGTGGCTCTTCTCCACCTCTGTAAAGCCAGACTTGAGCCATTTTCCCTAACTGGACCCATGCCAGTGAGAGGACACTGAACCATTACTGTCGTTCAGAAAGTGCACCTACCACTGGGGGAGCTGGTTGCATCAAGGCAGCAAAATTCAGGAATTCGCTGTGGTATCACACTGTGGACTTGCACAGCCCAATGGAAAAAGGCAGGAATGTGCTTGAGGGCAAGAGGGGGAACTGGCTTATTTTAGGGGCAGGAGCAATGCTTGGGAGGGTCCTGGTCTTGATTACCATGCACTATAATGAATGCCATGATGAATAATGAATGTGGGTGGTGGGAGAAGGGGGATAGTGTGGTTTTACAGATGGAATTTGTTGAAATGTTGTGCCTAGCTAAATACAAGTGTACTGTTTGCTTATGAACACTTAATTGCACCTGACATTATTAAGGACACAAGAGTAAAATATTGTAATGTATGAAAGGTAGGAAGTATAACAAGAGACCACTCTGGCTTAGCCAGGAGATATCCAATGATCTAAAAATTTAAAAAAAAAAAAAAAAAAAGAAAGTGGAAATAAGGTCAAAATACAAAGCATTAATATCTTACTATATATTTTAGAAACATGTATCTGTCTATCTGTCCATCTGTAGGTCTGTTTGTTCTAGAACTTCTACTAAATCAGTGTTTCTTAAACTTTTTAAGAGTGAGGAACACCAAACAATATTTTTTTTATACTGAACCCCCCATGCCCAGCCCCGCCCCAGAACAATGTTTTAAATGAAGAAAAATATCAACTATTGAGTTAAGGACCTAAGCAATGCCAGGTAAGCCTTCTAGTCTATCTGTATATTTTAGAATTGTGCATCTGTCTGTTTGTCTGTGAATCCATTTGTTCAAGAACTCATTCTAAATGGTAAGACCAAGGATCACCAAATTTGGTATGCAGCTTCCTCTGACCCTAACTTAAAGCAAGGCCAGGTTTTGATTGTGAAAGGAAAATGGGATGTGCCTGGAATTTGATTGTTTCTCATAAAATAGAAAGGGAGGAGTCTAGCGGGAGGGAATTATAAAGCAGAATGACCACGGGGGCAGCAAGCATGCCGGCAGGAAGCCAGTGGCCAGCAGCATTGGGGAGTAGCTGCTGATCACTGTGTGACCCCCGCTGTCCCTGGGCCAGTCCTGGGAAGCACCAGCAGGCAGCCTCCATGGCCCCCACATCCCAGAGCTGGGTCCAAGGAGCGCTGATGAGAGGCTAGTATGGCCTCGCTCCCTGTCCTCGGGCCAGAAATATGTTTTTTCTGTAGCCATATTGAAAGGCCTAAAGCCTTCCTCTGCAGCCAGATTGAAGAGGAGCAGCCATTAGCTGTAACGTTTGAGGTTATACACTCACATTCCATCCAAAGTGCATTAAAATAGTATCACACCAGGATGCTAAGAAGGAGATTCCAAACTAATGGCAACCAATATCACCAGATAAAGAAACAGATCTTTATCAACAGTTGAGGTTGTAGAATCCTCATTCTGTGATAATGGTCCTCACTTTCCTATTGTCTGTATGATCTCTGTCTGGTTTTTAATTGTTTCTGTCTGCTTTCTAATTAATTTTGCGAGGTGTAAATCAACTAAGGCAGTGGGGTCTGATTGGTTAGGTAATTCCATTACAGTATGTTATGACTGGTTAGTAAAATTAAACTAATTGGTTAAGGCAGAGCTAAGCAGGACTCAGGTTTCACTATGTAAACTGGGGCCAAAAAGGAAACTCTTTGGGAACCAACTCCAGGACACAGCTCCAAAATCAGAGCTTCCAGACCTCAACCCTGCGCCAATGACATTGTGCTGAAACTGGAGACCCCCAGATGGACCTGATCCTGACAGACCATCAAGACAAGTTCTCTGTCTCATTGGAAGTTTGGTGAGCACCATATGCTTGGTGTGTGCATTCTGTTTTTGATCATTAATAAATAGAGATTAAGTGGAATATTACTGTGTAAGGTTCTTTCACTGGTAAAAGACCTCAAAAACCTGCAGAGTTTAAGGTTATGCCGAAACCTACGGAAGGGTATGAGTCCTAGGAACAAGTAAGGATGAGTGCCCCTAGAGTCATGGTGGTCAAATTCTGGATCCAGTCTGGAGGGATAGACCCTGGAAGGCTCCGACCTCCATGTTTACCTGCACTTCTACAGGTATGGGAGGATCGCAGTCCTGGTTGGCCATGAATCATTGTTTACGGTCAATGCAAGCGATGGAAAGTGGTGTCTTGGTCCGCGATGCTTCCCTCCATTTGCATTGGTCATGAATGGTGATTTGCGACCAACCAGAGCTGTGATCCTCTAATACCAGCTGAGGTGCAGGTAAACATAGCAGTGGTGGCCCACCAGGGCCTAACCTTGTGGGCTGCCATTTTTTTTTTATTGCCTACCCCTGCCCCGGAGTGTGTAAGAATTTTCTGTGGATACCACCCCCTCCCCACCCTTGGGCTGGCCCAAGAGTGAAGCTGGCAGCAAGGGGTGCATGCCCCTCCCCTGTCACCCCAGGACCACCTCCCTGGGCAAAGCCAGCAGCTAGGGTGCATGACCTCCCCCCCCCCACACACACACCGGCATTAGGAAGAAGCTAGTGCAGAGGTGAATGGCTTCACCCCTGCCCCAGGCCAGACATGGACAATGCCAGGTAAGTATTCTAATAAACAAATAACACAAGTATGTAGGGGCATAATTTAAAAGGCCAGTGCACAAAACAAGCTCAAACTAGCTGGAGACAAAAAAAGGATAACAAGAAAACATTCTACACATAGAGAAAGAATAAGTTAAAAAGTACTTAACCAAGTTAGATGTCTTCAAGTCACCAAGGCCTGATAAAATACATCATAGAATACTCAAAGGGCTGACTGAGGAGCTATCTGAACCATTAGCTATTACCTGAAGACAGGAGAATTCCAGAAGACTGGGAAAGGGCAAATGTAGTGTTCATCTATAAAAAGGGAAATAAGAATGACCCAGACAATTATAGACCTGGAATTACAGACCTGTCAGCTGAATTTCTATGCCAGGAAAGATAAGGAAGCAAATAATTAAGGAATCAATTTGCAAACATCTAGAAGATAATAAGGTGCTAAGAAAGAGTCAGCATGGATTTGTCAAGAACAAATCATGTCAAACCAGCCTGAGAGCTGTCTTTGACAGGCTGACAAGTCTTGTGGATAAGGGGAAAATGATAAATGTGGTACATCTATAATTTAGTAAGGCTTCTGATACAATCTGGCATAACTGTCTCATTAACAAAGTAGGGAATTACAACCTAGATGGAGATATTATAAGGTGGGTGCATAACTGGTTCAATAAACTTTTCCAGATAGTAGTTATCAATTATTCACAGTCATGCATGAAGGGTATAATGAGTGGGGCTCCTCAGGGATCAGTTCTCTTCAATAACTAAATGATTTAGAGAATGTCATAGAAAGTAGACTTATATAAGTGTGTGGATGATACAAAGCAGGCGGCAAGGGTTGCAAGTACTATGAGGGATAGAATTATAATTCAAAATTAGCTAGACAAACTGGAGAAATGGTCTTAGATAAACAGGATGTAATTCAATAAAGACAAATGCAAAGTACTGCACATAGGCAGGAACAATCAGTTGCACATATATAAAATGGAAAATGACTGCCTAGAAAAGAGTACTGCAGAAAAAGATCTGGGGGTCATAATGCATCACAAGCTAAATATGAGTCAACAGTGTGATGCTGTTGCAAAAAAGCAAACGTCATTATGGCATGTATTAATATGAGTGTTGTAAGCAAGACACAAGCAGTAATTCTGCTCTACTCCATCTTGTTTGGTCCTCAACTAGAGTACTCTGTCCAATTCTGAGCACCACATTATAGGCTGTGTCTAGACTGCATCCCTTTTCCGTAAAAGGGATGCAAATTAGACACATCGCAATTGCAAATGAAGCAGGGATTTAAATCGTCCCCCTGCTTCATTTTCATAAACATGGCTGCCGCTTTTTCCCGGCTCGGAGCTTTGCCGGAAAAAAGCGCCAGTCTAGACGGGGATCTTTCGGAAAATAAAGCCTTTTCCGAAAGATCCCTTATTCCTCTTAGAAAGGCTTTATTTTCCGAAAGATCCCCGTCTAGACTGGCGCTTTTTTCCGGCAAAGCTCCGAGCCGGGAAAAAGCGGCAGCCATGTTTATGCAAATGAAGTGGGGGGTATTTAAATCCCCGCTTCATTTGCAATTGTGATGTGTCTAATTTGCATCCCTTTTACGGAATGGGACTGTTCAGCTCAGAAAAAAACAACTAAAGGGGGATATGATAGAGGACTATAAAAATCTTGAATGGCAAAGAGAAAGTAAATAGGTAAGTGTTGTTTATCCCTTCACATAAGTCACGTATTTTAGATTTTTTTATGAGGGAGACTGAAATAATTGCATTTGTCTACTTTGGAAAAGAGAAGTCTGAAAGTGGATGTAATAACATGGTGTTACAAGGAAGAGGGAGAAAAATTATTGTCCCTAACCTTTGATAATAAGATAAGAAGCAATGGACTTAAATTGCAACAAGGGAGATTTAGGTTGGAAATTAGGAAAAACTACCTAGCTTTGAGGATGGTTAAGCACTGGAATAAATTATCTAGGGAGATTGTGGAATCTCCATTATTGTTGATTTTTAAGAGCAGGTTAGACAAGCATCTGTCAGGGATGGTCTAAACAGTACTTGGTCCTGGCATGAGTGGACATGATGACTTCTCAAGGTTCCTTTCAGTTCTATGCATCTATGATTCTGTGTTTAGCTTTATTATTTCAAATCATAATAGTTTGATGTGTTGCAGTGATAGCAATAAATTTTCTTGATAACATAGACTGTTTTATTTGAAAACATGGCTTAAAATAGTGAAACACTCAGGCTACGTCTACATTGGCCCCTTCTCCAGAAGAGGCATGTTAATTTCCAACTTCAGAATAGGGAAATCCGCGGGGGATTTAAATATCCCCCGCGGGATTTAAATAAACATGTCCGCCGCTTTTTTTCCGGCTTGGAGAAAAGCCGGAAAAAAGCGTCTAGACTGGCGCGATCCTCCGGAATAAAGCCCTTTTCCAGAGGATCTCTTATTCCTACTTTCCTTTTTTCTTACTGAAAGTAGGAATAAGAGATCCTCCAGAAAAGGGCTTTATTCCAGAGGATCGCGCCAGTCTAGATGCTTTTTTCCGGCTTTTCCCCAAGCCGGAAAAAAAGCGGCGGACATGTTTATTTAAATCCCGCGGGGGATATTTAAATTCCCCGCGGATTTCCCTATTCTGACTTACCTGCTTTGCATGACTTTTCCGGAGAAGGGGCCAGTCTAGACGTAGCCTCAGTGTTGGACAGAGTAGGTGCTATTATAAAATCACACACAGTCCAGGAAATATTCAATAGCCTGCGTAGTACCCCTGGCACAGCATTTCCTCTGGCACCCATGTTCTCCTTTCATTTCTGTCCATGTTTTTCCTCACGTGGTGGTGCAGATGTGGGTTGGAGGTTTCCACAAGAGAGGGGTTGAAGAAGGAGGGCATCACAGGATTTATTTGCCTTGCTCAGCCACTCATAAGTCCTGTATGCCTGGGCTGCCTTGACATGGTGTTGGTCAGGCTTGTGCTGGACTGAGGGTGCAGAGCAGGGTGCTCATGCTGTGGTGCTGGGGATGCAGCAGGAGATGGCAGCCCTGCAGCCATTATGGAGAGCAGTTGCTGAAACAGTTCTCTGTTAAGCTCCCCTCATGCCCAGAACTCCCAACACAGGTTGGGCAAAACTGATGCCCAACTTGTACTTCGGTGAAAAGATTTTCTGATTGCCTGCCGGCATGTATAACTGAAGAGAACTAGATTTGGAAACAGAAAACTATTTCTCAAATCCATACACTCTGTGCCCTGTTTGGTGTATCCAAAGACCAGAAGGCGCGAGTACAGAGTGGGAAATTTGTTATTATTGAAAGGAAAGCTGGCATGACACTAGCAAACATCTGGGACTTCACAGTGAACATGACTTTTCTAATTTTTTTATGAAAATGTAAAATGCAAGTCCCATCATTTTGAACTCAACATGGTGGGAAGCCGGAGAGAGGGGTAGGGATGCCAAGACACTGTGATATAGTCCAGCATTAGCGGCCACAAGCTGGAAATCAGGGCTTGTCATTTCAGTTACAAGAGTGTTGAGAGCTGCTATAGGAATCGCTATAAAATAGCCTACATACAGAGTCCAGCAAAAGTCAATACACAGCTTTCTACAGCTTATTAAGAAAATAGCCTTTGTACTCAGGTGACCAGAAATTGTGTAAAACTTTAACAGCCGTCATGTTTGCAAATCCAGCAAAGTTATCTTTGCATGAGTTTACTGTGAAAAGCAGGAGGTGAGGAGAAAGAGGGAGGAAGAATGGCATGGGAAAAAGCAACAAAGCTGGTCTAGCTTTTCTACTTTCTAGTGGATCCAAACAAGGAGCGCGAAGAATCTCAGAGGAAGAAGTAAACTTGAGATAAGGGTTTGTTTTTCATATTATCAAAAAGGGATTTTTTTTAATGGATGCTAAGTCTTCTGATTATTTTATGTGTCTTGTTGGTTGCAGGGAATGAGCCTCTGGTTTCTGTTAAATTTGTTTAATTAAAAGTGGTGGTTTTATTGAATTGTATTAGGATTTTTTTCCTGATAATGCCTGAAGACGTTAAAACAAGACTTAGGGCCCATTTCTAGATTCTTCATTCACAGGAACAGTTCCAGTTGATTTTGGTGAGAATCCTGCCTTCAGAAGGAGCAAGGATTTCAGCATGTAATAGAAAAAAAGGTTTGTTTGTGTCTGTGTGAGCAGGGAGTGTGTCTACACAACAAAGTTATTTTGGAATAACAGCCGTTGTTCTGAAAAAACTATGTAGGTGTCTACACAGCAATTCCGTTATTTCAGAATAATTTTGAAATAACAGAAGGCTTATTCTGATTTATAGGAACCTCATTCTATGAAGACTAATACCCATCCCGAAATAGCCAGTTCCAAATAAGGCATCTGTAGACACTCCACTGCTGCTATTTCGAAATAGCCCCTCACCAGGGCCATTCTAAATTATTCCTCCTGGGGCTGTAAATTGAGATAGCACGTCTACATTAGGGAAACCTGCTTTGGACTAATTTTGAGGCTTCCCTGCAGTGTAGACATGCTATTTCGAGATAAGTTATTTCAGAATAACTAATCCAGAATAGTTTATTCTGAAATAACTGTGCAGTGTAGATGTAGCCAGGTTGTTGTGCACATTCTGTATCTTAGGGCTAGGTTCACAAAAGACTTAGTTATTGCAGTGCCTAACTAGTAGGACCCCCTGCTGCACAGTGGAATTCATAACCCAAGTTAGGTGTTCAGGCTCCTTATACAATGCATGGCTTGACAAAGCCCTGTCTGGGATGATTTAGTTGGGATTGGTCCTGCTTTGGGCAGGGGTTTGTACTCCATGACCTCCTGAGGTTTCTTCAAACCCTATTATTCTATGATTCTAACATTTTATATGGCTTGTGTATGTAATTTTCTACTTAGAGTACAGGCTTTTGTGAATCCTGTTCTTAGGCACTAACTGCTCTGTGCATTGTACAGGGAGCTTGGGCTTCTAACAGTATTCCCTGTAATCTCTATGATTGTGCACCCACTCAGGAGAGATTCAGATGACTAACAGAGCACCCATCGCTGGTCTTGGTGTTTGTATTGGCAGTGCACATTCACACTTGCCCCGGTGCACATAAAATTATTCCACACACAGATGGAACAAAAATCTATACATGGATGGAAAAGATTAGAGGGTACATTACTCCTAACTCAGAGCTATGGATTATACTAGCAGAAGGGCTCCAAATTACACATTGCAGCACTGTATCTAATTCCTTTTTGTGGATGTAGCCCTTAGGTTTTATTTCAAGGTGGGCATGTGTAGGGGAGCCTACATGGCCCTGCCTTGACATTTATAATAATGTCTTGTCTGCCTTGATCACAGTACTGATCTCTAACAAAGCAAACCCAGGCCTGTCCCGAGTCTGGTGCACGTAAGGACACAGGCAAGGCTCAGGGGGAGCTTTGAGAGACAGGAATGTTTTGCACAATAATGCAGATTAAGCAGTATACTGAGACCACAACAAGAACACATGACAATCAAGCTTGTAGTGGTACTTCTATTTCTGATCAGTAAAAGTTACAGATACAGCCATAAAACTTAACCATGCACATAGTTTTTGCAACATCGCTAGTAGCAGGACAAACCCCAAATAAGGGCAAAAGTCTCCTTTTGCTATAAAATGGGCTTAGTAAGAAGAACCAATGGGAGGGAGTAAGCAGGATTGATCCACAGGTCCTGCTTGTTGTAACTAGAAGTAAAAGACCCTTCACACCGGCTGCAGCAGTGGATAGTGTCCCGAAGGGTATGTTTATACTACCCTCCTAATTCGAACTAGGAGGGTAATGTAGGCACACTGCACTTGCAAATGAAGCCCGGGATTTGAATTTCCCGGGCTTCATTTGCATGAAGCCGGACGGCGCCATTTTTAAATGCCGGCAGTTCGAACCCCGTGCCGCGCGGCTACACGCGGCACGGAGTAGCTAGTTCGGATTAGGCTTCCTAATCC